TACATTTTGCAATTAGAAACTACAATTTCTGGTTTACCCTTAAAGAACATATGACTATAGGAAAACTAAAAGTACATAAGTTGTTTCTACACTGAGCTAGAAATTGTAGCGTTAGGAAGCCAGGCCTCCTATTCATTGTCTCTAGGCATTAGGATATAGGCACATCGTGATCTAGGCACATCATTATCTAGGCTTTCCAAGTTTTCTGTGATAAAAACAGAATGAGATCTACTTTAAGGTAAAATTAGAATTAATAGTGAAAAAATCCGGCTGTAAATTTTAGGTTTTTGTTTTTACAAAATTAAAAGTTATTTTCACAGAATAAAAAGGATTATATATCATTTCCACCTATTAAAATATCGGTCAAGTTTGAATAGTAAAAAGATCAAATACTGCAGTGGGGTTGATCGGATGGTACGTATAGGAAATCCGACAACTGCGATGAAAATGATAAGTAATGAGACAGGTTAAATCAATAGTATCTTAGCCGACTGAAAAGTGCCATAACTTCCAAGTCGTTGAAAACGTCACCGCTCATGTAAAATAATTTCGCATCAATGGCGAGCGGTGATGAACGGCAATAGTGAGAAGTGTACTTTATGCGTCGTAAAACTGTTGTGCGCCTGTTTTTAATAATGCCTCAAAGTTGTTTGTATATTTTTCCACCGGCCTGGATACGGGACAGGCATGCTGCCGAGCTGAGGAAGAACGCCGTATGAACCTTCAGACGTTGCCACATTTCCTTCAATAAAGACCCAATTCACTGGGAAAATTGTGAATGTTTTTCCTCAATTTTTTCAGACAATTTTGTTCGCAATTTTGTCTAAAATGTCTGAAAATTTCAAGGGAAAACACGCATAAGCTTTCTCAAAAATACATTTTTATCCGGGGCGATTTGGCAACTCTGGGATGTTCATACGGCGTTTTTCCTTAGCACGGGGCACAGGGGATGGCTCACAGAGCGGGTCCGATCGCAGACTGCTCGAGGAGAGAATACTCCGGGCCCACTCTACTATTAGCCCGACTCAGTTCCCATCTCTCACCGCCTGCCTTTGCCTTTGCTTTTGCCTTTGCCTGAACCTGCTTATCACTCATCGATGAGCCCTAAATGGCAAATATGTAACAGCAAGGTCGCTGGCAGGCTAATATGTGAGATTATGCCTAGTTCCCCGTGCAGCGCTAGTGTTATGTTTCCATAGCCACGTTATAAATTAACGTAGGTGTTTTATCCAAAGGTGTTTCGCGCAGCTCTCCTGGCTCTATTCTATTCGCGCGGAGACCGTCTCAGGCAATTCAATAATATGTAATCACCATGTGCGCTCCGCGGACCCAACCATACTGCCGTGCTAAGGAAAAACGCCGTATGAACATTCGAGAGTTGCCAAATTTCCCCGAATAAAACACGTATTTTCGAGGAAAGTTGCGTATGTTTTTCCTTGAAATTTTCAGCTATTTTAGATTCAATTGTGAACAAAATTGACTGAAAATTTTGAGGAAACACATTCACAATTTTCTCAGTAAATTAAATTTTTCTTGAAGGAAATATGGCAACGTCTGAAGGCTCATGCGGCGTTCTTCCATAATCCTGGTCCACGCTCTGTGTACTTTACTGACAACCGTATTCGTCCTCTCTGTTTAGCACTCCATTCAGTTTTAGCACGCCGTCAATTTTTGATTTCCGTCCGCTAAATTGTGCAAACCCTCCCCGAAGGCGATCTTTTCTTCGAGTCAAGAATGCGTAAGAAGGGAAACAAGTTCACCCCGAACAGCAGTTTTTATGTACTTTTTGGTGAAGCATGCAGATGAGATGTGCTGAAAGTGCAAAATAAAACCATAAGCCGAGAGCTGTTATGATTATAGGTAAATGAATAGATTTTTTAAAAAAATATTATGTTTATTCCTAGTAAAATTGTCTTAGAATTCTCATTTTTTGACCTTAATATTTGAACTTGAAGTTTCAGAAGTCTCCATAAGATAACTCAAAAATACATACGCGTGTTTCATAAAACGAGTATTTTTTTCATCATTATTCGAACTGTCTGGCCTTCTTAATGTTCATTATTTGTCACAGTTCGTTCAAAAGCTCTACCGGACCAGTTTTATGCATTCCACACTTATCAATAGCCCTAGATAAGCCCACTCTATTTAGATTAACTCACAGCGGCCGTAGGGGCGCAAGGCACCCTCCGGGGGTTTGAATTGCGTAGCGGCCGGAGGGGTAACCCTCTAGTATATTCATGATGATATACTGTAAAGAAATGAACGTATGATGCAAATGAAAGGGCACTCATTAGATTTTCTAAAATGAAGTTCGGTAGCGTTTGACCTTATTAGTTTTTTATGAAGATAACTCTCTGTGATGCTGCTAGACATTTTCTTTTAATATTACACGAAAATAAGATAGTAATTATGAATTCCTGTTCAATATTAGTCTTTATAATTCTGGTTCAGTTATTTATAATTATTTTTGTAATTTTAGATAAGTATGATGGTCGCTAGTCGGGACATTTAGGGCTGGTTTCAGCAAAGAAATAGTCTATGGTATTATTGATGCGTTTGGAATTCGGCAAAAAATCAGGATTAAAATGTTTTTCAATCCTCCACAAACAATAGATACGATGAGCATATCTGCACAGCAAGAAGTCTGCTAATGCATGATGACCTCTCTTACTTCACCCATTGCACTGATACATTTGCGCTTGGATGTTAACAGACGATGCTGCCTTTTACTAAATGCTATACTCAATGCACCGAAAAGAAGAGTGGCGTGGCGTGAATGATCGATTATCGATATTTCCCCATTTGCAGCTATGACAAAGAATCGATTATTATGGCGTCCGTTGGTAACACCCTGTTTGACGATCCTCTCCCATTCGTTTGAATGGCAGATCAATCGATATATCGCAAAGCACGCCACGCCGCGGAAAAGAATTAATTCCGCTCGTGAAAGGGTAAGCAAATCTTAACAAAATACCATCCATGAGAATCCGAACTTTCAATCTGTTGGATGTGCAAGTCGGTGTCGAACCGATCACCGGTCTTACGTGAAGAGCGCATATGTGAATGAGCTCAATATTGCGGCAAGCATCGGATCCAGAAAGTTTAAAGAAACAATTTTTACATGTCCCACAAAATGAAATTCAATAATTGAAGTGTCAAAGTGTGAAATTAAAAACAAAGTTCTGAAGCTTTTTCTTTGTTAAATTATTCTTGCCGTAAAAAAATGGCTCGGCGTGTACTGTGGCATCAGTGCTGATCCAAAGGCTAATAAGTCCGTTCATTTTCATTCATATCCTGCACGACTGACTCACAAGCAGTGGCGAGGCATGCATGATCGATTATCGATATTTCCCCATTTGAGCTACGGTAAAGGATCGATTATTAATGTATTTGTTGCGAACACCCTGCTTATCGACTGTTTCTATAGGTTCAAATGGCAGCTCAAACAATATGTATATCGCAAAGCACGCCACGCCACTGGTTGCTTGCCGCCGAGCGCCTATTTTCGCACATCAACCTTAAGCAGATCGATCAGTGATGCAAGCAGTGTGTGGAGTGTAATCTGGCACGTCAATTAAAATATTACCTCACGGAAGAAAACAAGGCTTTTCTTGGCGGATCCTCAATACTGCGCTGTTTAAGGCTTATCGATGGTGAAACCTGAGGAACACGTATTTCAATTTCCAATGTTGCAACCATCGTCGCATTTACCCGACGGAAAATTTAGTCATACCTTTTTTTTAAAAAAATATGAAAAATCTCGATATTTTTCTGCGGGAGACTTTTTGATCTCAATTCCAAAATCTTCACAGTAACGGCGTGATTATTATGTCAAATGTTGCATTTTGTAAAGAAGCACAGAGGTGTACTCTTAAGGATTTGAAATAAAGTTTTAAATTACTAAAACCTCGAATCAATTGTGACAGGACCTGTGGAAAGGGAACGCATCTTCACGAAGTTTAAAATTAAGTTATGATTACCACTGCATAGAAGGAGAAAACATGGGAATTTTTAGGTGAGTATGACCCCCAAAAGTTGGCGACAAGGGGTGGAGGAGGAGATCAGAAGGTGCCAATTGCCTGATGATCTCTGGGAGGATAGGGGGCAATGGCGATTGGGCGTCGCAGAGCGCGAGGCGGCGCTATAAAAGCGACTTTATGTATGTATGACCCCCAAAAGTTCTAAAGTTGAGGGAGCTATGGCGCATTAAAGCTCCAAGACAAAAATTCTCAAGTTTAAGGTTAAAATTTTAAGTTCAATTTAGGCTTGGAATTCTGGCATACACACAGATAAGGAAATCTCGCGCCCTTTTTGCTGAGAAAATTAAACTAAAACCGTGCGTGGCTTTGTTCTCAAACTTACCAGAGAGCGTTTTCCGTTGGGACATTAAAATCACTTCGTTTGACCCTTTCCAATACATTCGCGGCTCGGCTCCCCTCCAACAATTTACTCTCGAATATAAGATTCCTGTTTAGAGATTCTGTCACAATTTTCCCCTTGTGCTTTTTGCTGGGTGTTTGTTAAAAATGTGCTCATTCTAAACCACAAACTGAGATCGCTGAAGCAGCAAAATGCAGGGATCACGTCAGAGACTTTAACGCAACACAAGGAAAGTGGGCGTACCGACAAGCGCGAGTTGGAATTTGGACGAATAGGCAACTAAACTAACTCAATGGCTGAGCGTAGAGTATCACAAAAATTGAAGGCGCTTTCGAGATCACGATTGTAGTTGTGAAGTTTTTCATGAGTAGATTTTCACCATGCTTATTAGAATTTTTGAGATTTATCCATACGATTAGCAAACCATTTGCAAATTGTCAGCGATTGCCAGTGGCTCGCGACGTATAAGCTTTTTGACCATGGATATGAATAATATAAAAAGCAACGAAAAAAATCGCTGCAATTAAGTTGCTCTCAAACCAATTCAAAACCTAAAGATACATTTTTTTGGATTGAATACTACTTTACGGAGAGGTGAAATATTTTCTGTCAAAACTTACCATAGAATGGCCGAGATACTCTGCCGCATTATCTGATATGTATAGTAACTTTCCATTTTGTGTCATCATCAGCAGGAAACCGCTGAGTGCCTGGAACAAAAAGAAAAAAGAGGTATAATAATTGTTCCTACGATGACAAATTATAATGCGTTTAATTGAATTTCAATCGCTTAGGGAAGAAACAAATTCAATATCACTATATTGGGATGAATACGGTGTTATCTTTCAAAATCTCTGTTCTATGATATAAATGTACACCGAACGGAGATTGGACTTAGATCAATGAGAGTTAACAAAGAAAACCCTACTAGTTTTCGTCATGCTCCTCCGATTAAAGGGCGTATCTCTGATATTACAATAGCCCCGGATAGCATAGAGTTGTACGCATAGATCACGGCTCATGAGGGATCTGAAGTATGCCTTCCCGTTAGCATAGCGACGAAAAGACTGGAAAATCCGCTGTTATTCGTGACGTCATCGTAAGGATAGCCCATCAAATCGAATGAGCCCCACACCACAACAAAGACGTAATCGTTTCCAATGCTACTAATGAGGATAAATCGATACATATCGGTTTTTTTTTTCCGTGACGCAGCGGTAATAGCGTCTGTGAGGCCGCGAACCAAGTATCGATGCACTCCAGCTCCACAGCGGGAGGGGGCGCACATTGGATCGAGTCAATCAGAGAGGTCGGACATACAATTTCTAATTCAAGCTGCAAATTTTGATGTTTAATTCGTCACACTTTAAATTTTAAGGGGTGTTCCGGAATGAAAATTTCACGAGGAAACCAATGGAACCACTTTCAAGACTTCGAAGTTTTGTATGAGCGGAGTTATAAGCTTTTAAAGTTTCGAAATTTTATCCGACCTCTCTCATCGACTCGGTCCACTGTGCGGCGGCGGCCGTGATGAGCCATGAGCGGAGCTTCGAAAGTCGAGCGTTTAGTCTCTATTTTGCGGAAATCGTATCACGGAATCGTAGACGGTGAGGGGGAGGTGGTGGAGGGGGGGGGTTGGATCAGAAGTCGGTCTTCCAGAGCACGGACTCGACGAGGACGGCTACGGTGGGGGTGTAATTACTTGAATGAAGATGATGGATTCGTGAATTTGGAGCGCGGAGAGTTGTGCCGTTGTGGCCGACACGGAGACGCTCTGAGATCTTGCCCGTCCGCACGGTTGCCGCTCCCGGACCCGCGTCTAGGAAATACACTGAAAAAAAAAAATCTCGGTGAATTTACTAAGAAAAGGGTAAAATTACTAAGAATTCAGGGTTCTATTTGGACTACATTTTGCAATTTGGAACTATAAATTCTGGCCCGGTTTAAAAACAACGTATGTGCCATTAGTTTCCCTATGTGCATAAGTGTTTTTTCAGATGAGCCGGAATTTTTAGTTCCAAATTGCAAAATGCAGTCCATTTGATCCCAGTTTTTTCTTGGTAAAATTACCATTTATGGAATTGGTAATTTTACCGAAAAATCTAGGTAAAATTGTTGAACTTTCTTGGTGATTTTACTGGACCTTGGTAAAAATGCCAATATTTTCCATCGACTGTGGTAAAATTACCGGGATAAAATGGCAAAGTTACCGGGAATTGATTACCAACAAAAGTGGTATTCTTACCTGAGAAAAACAGTAAAAATACCGGTTTTTAGGTAAGCTTACCAGTCCGTCTTGGTAAAATTACCAATAATTAGTAAAAAAAGTGAGATGGTAAAGGTACCAACTGACCTTGGTAAAAACGCCGAGAATTTTTTTTCAGTGTGGATGCAGAGCACGTGTGCTTTCCGTCGGAGGCCGCGGGCTTTGAAAAAATATTCAGGGTCTCGATCGGACGCAAACTAAAATCCGAGTTTCTCAATTGGACGAATCAAAACCTGTAGAAACTATTGCGATAGCGAAAATGTGGAACCGCAGACCTTCGTTGCGGTGTCTCAAAATTTTTGCTAGTTTTTCGAAGAGAAACAAGCCAACTCCAAAGGTCTACGACGTCGCAGGCTGAGATACGTGGTTTCTCACTGTGGCTATCCATATCTGTTCTGACTTAAGCCCTGTCATGTATGATTTCTTTTGGATCTTGAAGCTGATGTCAGAATGTCTTCTTTTTTTATTAAATACGTCCAATGGGGATTCCCTGAAAAAAACAATTCATTGCTGCATCTGAGAGCATTTAATGAGCCGCGTGTGCAGTATTTTTCTTAATTTTTTCCTGCTGTGGAAAATTGTAGAAGGGCAGATTTAAAAGTTCACAAATCTGCCTTCTTGCGACGAGATTAGGCGTCATTTTATCATTTAAACACATGTACTTTTTAAGATTAGGTTATTTCTTCATATCTCCTCTAGTAAGTGCTCATTTTAGAAACCTAGAAAATCATCGTGCTCAGATCACTCAGTAGTTTCTTCCTAAACATGAAATTCACACATTTTTCGACATCTGCAAAATCTACGATATTACTTGGAACGAGAAACTTTGATAGTGACAGCTATGATCTCGGCACGGGGAGCCTTACACAATAAGCCAAATGAGTTCCTCCATGGTATTTTTGAATGCTACCATTTTTATGAAATAGAGAGTTCACAGGAATTTCTCCCGATTTATTTTACGTATGGAAAACAGGTTTAAAGTATGCCTAATTCCGTTAGGATGCTCCAATTAAAGGGAGATCATGGTGCCTTTTATCTGTACGAAAATGAGTCCTTGACCACACAATAAGTACAAAATGAGCGGCAAGCCTGTACGTTGGCTAAAACGGGCACCGAGTGGGGAGTTGGGTCCGAGTTGGGATCCCGGTCCGAAGCCGGTGCGCGAAAGGGCTGAATTTCCGCGGTCTCCCTGGGAGCCTGCAGGAGCGGGAGCCACGGAGGCAGCGTGGAGGCGGCGGAGGTGGAGGCAAGGCAGAACATTTGGTGGAGAGCGCCTTTAATGTATATTGCTCGGCGTCTAATCTGCATAGTAATAGCTCGGAAGAAGAGGTCAGAGGCTACTTATGGTTTAGATGTGGGTCAGAATGGTGAACGAGAGGACACCGGCATGGATATGGACGGGACGTTCCACGTCCACGTCACATCGCCCTAGCCGCCACCGCAACCGACGCGCCCGTTGCCAACTCTTCGCCGTCACGCCGTAACGTATTTAACGAACTTATCCAGGGATTTTTTCTTCTTTCAGTTTTGGTCGTTTTTGACCGTCAAAAGCTTCCTTTTTTGTACGGATAACTCTTTTCCCCACATTTTATACCTCCTTTACATTTTTTTACCTTGTTTTTACCTTTTTTAAATCTTGTTTTACCTTTTTAGCCATTTTTTACCTTTTTTAATCTTTTTTCACCTTTTTAACCATGTTTTACCATTTTTTTACCATGTTTTACCTTTATAATCTTTTTTAACTTTTAAAACAATTTTGTACCATTCTTTTTACCTTCTTAACCTTTTTTAACTTTTTTATCATTTTCACCCTCTTAACCTTTTTTACCATCATTTACCTTTTTAACATTTTGAGCCTTTTTTTACTTTTTTACCATTTTTTACCGTTTTATCTTTTACGCCTTTCTCACCTTTTTAACCTTTCTTACCTTTTTTTACCTTCTTAAGTAATTAATTTGTACTGTGCTAAAATGAAATTAAAGCCCACTACATTTCCATGGCAACTAAATTTGTCAGGTCTTGGTTCAATATAAAAGAGAGATTACTTGCAATTCCTTGTGCCTCTGCACAATTCAGTTATCTGTCTCTAAATAATAATTTAGTATTAATTTTAACCAAGCCATGATGTTCATTCACGGTAGATGACATAATTCATCGCACCATTGTTACGTCCGTTGATTCACAACGTGGAAAGCGTTTGCAATTTTGCCCGCATATCCACGGGAATCGGAAGAATTTTTAAACAGAGGCGGCAACAAAGATTTGAGACCAACACTACCGCCGCTGCACAAACGCCGCGGTCTCGCGCCGCGATGTTCCCACGCTTGCTTCATCTTTTTATCACTAGTCCTCCCCGCTGAATGGCCCAGTGTAAACATCTCTCAACAACACTACCAATATTTATTGAATCACACATTTACTCAACTTGGATCGATTGAGCTGATGTTCGGTGTCTTATAATGGCCGCGGTTCGAATCGGCATAATGGTCATTCTCAACAAACGGAGAAGACCGTTGGTGAAGATAAGCTCCACGCTAACTTTTAGAGTCTAGTGCAACATAAATTCAATATGGACCGGCTGGTAATACTAAATAATATTAAATTAAGCGATCTGTTTAAGTTATTGTGGTTCTCGCTAAATTCACCAGGAATATCAGCGGATAAGCAACTCTCCCCCATTACCGATTAAAATCACCTACATGCCACACTACATTTACTATCTGCTACATTTTAGGATAGTAAAGTATCTAACTTTTCAATGTATTGAAGTCACTTATTTTCACTGTGGAATTGAAAATAATATAATTGCAAATAATCAGAAGTAATCAAATTGGAAGTATGATGTGTTGGCCCTGATTTTGGCCACCAGAAACAAACATCAAAAGTTTCAAGTTCAAATCTTACGCAGAAAACGATTTACAGAAGAGGAAGCTCGGAAATCAACTCTTTAACGAGATTTTAACAAGCTTAACTCAGATCAACTGCGGAGGTTAGATTACACAAACTTAGGTCATTTGTACTTTTACTTTTTAAGAAATTTAATTACGATCATTTCTTTGAAAATCAAAATTAGACTTTAGATTTGCACCATTGCAAATCGAGATACGTGGTTGGCAAGTTCACATTCACCATCGAAAGCCGATGGATGCGCAAAAGATGGCGATCCTCATCACGGAGCTTAGATACAACTATTCGTGCTCCATGAACGTGCGTGTTGCATACGGAAAAATTGAAGGCACCTTTACTTTGCTTGCTCGGACTGAAATGCGCCGATGAGGATGGTGCTCTGCGCGCAGCGTAAGTGGTTGATAACCACCGTGGAACTGAAAAACGCTTCAAAGATTTACGCAAATCATACGTGTTCTATCCCTTAAACTCTACGCTGGGCTGCTACGCGCCGCAGGCTTATTTTTCTATTCGCCTGTTTAAGTCTCCTCAGTGGGC